GAGAAAAATCGGAACTTTTTGTTTGCAGGATTATTTTCGAGGTTCTGTCCGGGGAATTGGGCAATGGGATTTGGTAGAGACAAAGTTAATGGGAGCTATAAAGTAGTGAGGATGTCTTTTACATACTGGGAAATTGGGCAACAAGTTCCTGAGGTAGAATGTGGTGTTCTCGATGTTCGAACTGGCGAATGGCGGATACTGAGTCCACCTCCTCATGTGGTCAATGCAGGAAGCAAATCGGTCTGTGTGAATGGATCAATCTACTGGTTACACATTGAGAGAGGTTACAAAATACTAGCTATGGATCTTCACAAAGAAGAGTTCCATGACGTCTCAGTTCCAGCTACATGGGTCACGCACGAAACACAGATAGTTCCAGCTACATGAGGACCGTCTAGCCATAGCCAAAATGAAAGATTGGAAACTAGAAATATGGAGCATGGATACAGAAAAACATAGATGGAGCAAGACGTACTCCATTAGTTTAGCACATAGAGTTGTTTCTATGGAAAGGTGGAGAAGGTGGTTCACGCCGGTGGTTTGTAAGCAAGGGAATCTGGTCTTCTATGACAATCAGAAGAGGTTGTTCAAATATTATCCAAGGACAGATGAGATTCGTTGTCTATCGTTAGATACTTGTGTCATATCTCCTTACATGGAAAATTTAGTTTCATTTCCTTTGAAACCAAGCCATCAACAATCTTATCCTCATCGGGTAAATCCGGATTCTGAAACGAGGGTTTCCAGATGCCGCTTGTTATCGATGGAGCCGAGTTCTTGGGTATCCAAAGTTTTGCAACGGAATGATTGGATCCTAGATATTTTGTTTACCTCTCTAGTAGTAGTAGCTGGTTATATTTGGTCACTTCCCTCGTAAGAGTTATTTATCTAGTGCCAAACTATTATTTGATTACGCTTACTTCTAAATCTTATAAATGACTGATTTCTATTTTGTTAAAAACATCTCCAATGTATTATAATATTTTTTACACTAAAATGGTGTTGGGTTTTACTCCAATGAATTATACCATTTTTTACACTAAAGTGGTGTAATTCATTTTTTTCTCTTGCGATTCACATTCAAATTCAATGCCTGCCTTGTCTCTCTCCCTTTTCTATGGAAATTTCAAGCACATACAAGGCTTGGGATTTTCTACTTGTTTACGGATATTGGCTGGGAGCAAAACTTGATGTGGTATTATCATGGTTTACCACAAGGGGAGGTCCATTTTTGCTGAGTCGTGTTCTGTTTGTTGATCTACTTCCTATAATGGATGGAAGCACTAAACAACAGCGAAAGAGGAGAAATGCATAAGGGTCATGTGCCTACGTTCTCGGCCAGAGGATTCATTTTGTTGTAATTAATTAAACACGAATATAACCCGCAATGTTCGAGTTTTTGTTTTACAATTTTATAAAATTTAATGATAAAATTTTGATTTAATCATTTATTTTTATGTGGTTGTGTATTTTGATAAAC